CTCCCTAGAGCAAGACCGCACGAGCAAATTGGAGGAGTCTGTCCGGCGAGCGCTGGTCGAGGTCTTGCCTAAGGTAGAGGAGCTGCTGGCCAGACACCTCTCACCTCAGCCCTCGTGCGAAGCGACTCCTGCTGGCGCGTCCGTCGCCCCAAGTGATGGTCGCAGCTCAACAGCCAACGTCGCCTCAACTATCGTGGAGCCTCAACAGAACATCCAGCGTGGTGCACAAGCCGTCGGAAAGGTGAAGCCACCAGCGAATGCTTCAGCCAGCACCAAACCGACTGAGTGCGCTCTCGTTACTGGTGGAGGGGCAACGGTTCCCCCCGCCCCATCCAGCGAGGACGCTGCGCCCGCCTCCAGGCCCTCGGCACCCCCTCCGTCGGCAGCTTCCGGCGCGACCAACCCTCCGGCGTCGCTGCACGAGGCGGCGGAACGAGGGGATGCGGCGGCGGTGCAGCGCTTTCTCGCCGTCGGAGCTCAGGTAGACGCGCGGGACAAAGACGGCAACACCGCGCTGCACATCGCCGCAAGCAGCGGGCGCCCAGAGGTCGTCGACATCCTCATCGCAAACGGGAGCACGGTGAACAGACGCGGCTTAAGAGGACGAACTCCACTGCACTGCGCAGCCGCCGAAGGTCATGGGGCGATCGTGGCGCGCCTGGTGACAGCTGGGGCCAAAGTCGACTCTCAAGACGCAGATGGCGCTACCGCCGCCTCTCTGGGTGCTCAGAGAGGTCACGTGAACGTGGTGTTTCGGTTATTAAACAAGGGCACGCCTGTGGAAGCGAAGGACAAGGAAGGGAGGACGCTTCTTATGTATGCAGTCGAAGGAGGAAACATACAAATAGTCATAGACCTTTTGGAAAAACGAGTCAACATAAACGCGGTTGACGACAAAGGAGAGAATTCGCTGTTTAAAGGGATTAAGAATAAGAACTTACACATAGTAAAATATCTCTTAGAAATGGGTGCCTCGCCAATTAAAGCAAACAAAATTAATGAATCCCCTTTACTGTTGTGTTCTATGAAGGGATACGGTGATCTGGTAGGGAAAATGTTGAAAATGACGGGCACAAGGAATACAGCTATTTTGAAACGCTGCCTTTGTGTGGCTGGCAGTGCGGACGTGGTGTGGAGCTTCGTAGACGAGGCCCGTGACTTGGCGCTGGGGCCAACGGGGGGAGAAGCGCTGGTGGAGGCCGCTAGAGACGGGCGCCTGCAAGTGGTGGAGGCTCTGCTTCGAGTAGGCGCGGGCGCGAAGGAGTCGCGTGAAGAGGCGCTGCGGGCGGCCGCAGAGGGAGGACACAGAAATTGTATGGTTGCGCTGTTGGACGCTGGGGTCGACATCAATGCGGGAGACGGCTTCGAGTGGACGGCGCTGCATTACGCGGCTTGTAATGGGCACGCCGAATGCGTAAAGGAATTAGTGCAGAAAGGAGCGAATACGGAACTAAAATCTTGGTTGGGGTTGACAGCCCTAGACATTGCTAGAAAAAATAAAAAAGCAGTCTGTATTGACATTCTTCAATAAAAGAAACTTTTACATTATTAGTTAGTTATAGTTGTTTCTTCCATTCACAAATGCATGAATTCTTAAATTTGTAATTGTTTAACATTTCATGTTTCATTTTGAGTTTTATATCCGGCCTTCAACGATGATATTGATGTCGATGTAACAGTAAATGTCACGCACGAACTACATTATTCTACAGTCACTGGGCAGTATTAGTGCCTAGAGAAGCAATTGAAGAGAAAACCTTATGCCAGATTACCACGCCAACTGAAAATTACGTAAGTTAATCTCTACGAATCCAAACATCCTCAGAAATATTCAACTGTTTAAACAATTCCTCACAATGTTTGGTTGTAATGTAATTACAAAGCAGATGTGGACAAAATTATCTTGTTTATGGTTATTGTAACGTCGTGTGTAGGGATCTACACCACAAGGAAACAGACACGAGTGAGTATATACAAGTTCGGGAAACGCCGAGAACGTGCCGGGTGCATGGAGACAAGGCGACGGGGCAGGTAATAAAAGCGCCGCTGCCGGCGGCCGCAAGTTCTAAGAAGTGAGTAGAAGTTCGTGGTAGTAAGACGGTCCAGTGAGTAAGCAGAGCAAGCAGTCAGTCCGTCAGTGTGTCGAAGTGGAAGCTGTGCTGTGAATATGTGCATTGCGGCGAAAGAGTGGTGGCAGCGGTTTGAACCGCAGTCAGCAGTCTGAAAGTCTGCAAGTGGAAGCTGAGCTGTGATAGGGTGGCATCGCGTAAGCAGTGGTGCAGTTGGGGAAACAGCAGTCAGCCAGTTTTGAAAGTCTGCAGTGGGAAGCTGAGCTGTGGTAGTCGGCATCGCGGTAAACAGGCAGTGCTAGTGGACGCTGGTGTGCGCAGTGAAGTGTGGGTCTGCGCAAGGAATTTGTGGTCTGTGCAGGGAATTTGGGTCAAGTGGCAGTGGGACCTGTGGACAGTGCATGGACTGGCTGAATGACTGGTATGGCAGAAGAGAGCTAGTGTCGAGAATGAACGGTAGGATAGTGGTGTACAGAAGTCAGAATGTGTTTAGAATAAATGAAGAAAGACGTGAGTAGTGGTAAAGAGAAGATAATTAGGTGCTCATATATGGGCTCGTCAAATAGACCCAGATTATATGATATAGTAGTATATCAGTTGGTATCACGCAATAACCTTCTTTTGTTATAAATATTTGTGTTGGTTTTAATTCACGCAACGAGAAAAGCGTTTACAATATTATAAAGATCAAGAAAATATGTCCTGCCTTCTGTACCGATTTAAGGGCCGGTTTCACCAATCATTGACGAGTAAAGTTGAGAAGTAGTTCACCGAGAGTAAGCATTAACTTATGCGATAGTTACTCTCGAGTAGATATGAGCGTTTCACCATGCTTCTAGAGGATTTATTTTACTCTAGAGTGAAATACAACAAAAAATACTCTCCAAGTTTATTCCGGCAAATCAGCTCGAAACAGATGCATAGTTTGATAAGGCCGATTCAAGAGGCTGTAAGCGAGACTGGGAAACCAATGTCGGACAACGCGAACCTTTGATTATTCCTTATATTCCTATCATTCCATTTCAGTTTCGAGTTCTTTGGCGTGGACTTGGGCGTTATAATCTTGTGTGGGTGTTATGGTGATGTTGAGTTCGCATAGTTTTTTCTGTAGTTCTGTATCTTTAATTTCTTCTAAATTTCATTCATCTCTCATTTCTCATGAAAATTTACAAATTCTCGTAGTTTACATGTATCTGATGAAGTTAACAGCCGATTTGGGTCAAAGATCAACCTCGGACGAAAATCTCGATCGTCATAATTAAAACCAATCCTTTCTCTCTCTAGCACCCTTTGTCATCGCTCTAAGTGGACAATAATTCCGATATAATTTAATTTTCTCTTTTTGAAGAAGGAAAGCAAATGTTAAAATGAAAATGAAAGCGTTGAAAAAACATAATTGTATTTACCGTTGTATCAGCAGTGTTTGTTAACCGCATTCCATGATTTTCTTGCAGCAAGTAATTGGTGCATAATTGTATTTTACTTTTAGTTTTAGTTTTTGTTTTAATTCTACTCCGACAACGTAAGTAAGCATCACATAAAGGCGATCAGATAAGATAAATGTTCAAATGTTTTTGTGCAAGCCACTAAATTAAAATTTTCTAGTGACATTTCGTTAGTGCAATTCTATTAATAAAAGTTCATAAGATCAGTGAATAGATAATAAATAAAAAATATAAATATAAAAATATATTAAAAAAATATAAAATAAATAAA